CACCCTTCAAAGGAAGGAAAAGATAGCCAATTTATTGAATGAGTCTCATGAAATTACTAACTACAAATTTGGAACTCTAATTAATAATTAAATAAATAACTATAACCAAAATTACCACATCAATAGCTAGCCAAGTTGAAGGATATGGAGTTCTTGACAGTGTAGAGGTTGGCAAAATTCACACTTATGCAACATTAATGAAGACGTGTTTAAAGAAAAACATTTATTATGAGAATAATAAAAGTATAAACACACAAACTAACAAAAGGTGTACTTACTATATACAGATGTGTATCCAAGTATGCGTGTGTGAGTGAGTGAGATTCAAAATGGCGGCTGGCCACTATGAAGACAAAAGGCCCCCTGGAGTGGTGAGACCATGTGATGTGTTAAGTTTGTGGAGATGAGTGTGTGAGGTGTTGGTGCCAGGTTAAAGAAAGTAGTTAGATGCATGCAAAGAAAGTGATCAGCATAACAGAACTAACATTAACTTTCAAATAACAAATGACCAAATATCACAACAACACAAGTCAAACTTATAAACATCACATGAAATAGAAATAGGATTCAACGATCCTTTGCTTAGCCTAGCTTAATAATAAAGCACAGTTGTGTTACCTGTTCATGAAAAAGAGGGGAAGGTCCTTATTTGATGCGCTGTTTGTCCAGTGAAGTGGTCTTGTTGGTTTGTGGATCCTGTTGTGCATCTGCTGGTCAGACCTTGAGCCAGTTGTGCTGAAGTTCTTAGGCAGGCTCTCGCGTCGCTGCCTTTGGAAGGTTTTAGCAGTCTGCTCCAGGCAGGCCTGCTTGAAGTTGACAAGCTTGCGTGGGGAGGAAGTCTCCCTGGCTGGGAGAGCAGGGCCAGAACCTACTCCTCCATGAGTGGTCAGCAGGGGAAGACTCATGGGTAATGGGGCACACAGTGACAAATAGTGGTTGAGCAGTTTTACCACCTATATGTGAAGATGAAGCACCCTTGGAGACTGAGTTCTGAAAGCTTTCCTTTGTCTCCAGAGCAAAGGAGACATGTGGTCAGGCTTTTGACTACACATGTAGGCCCAACTATGGTTCACAGATACCAGGTCCCAACACAGAGAATGCAATGATGTTATGATATGGTAGGAAAAAAAATGAATATGCTTCTTCTCAGTCCACTGTGACTGTAATGGCTGCCTAGTTGACATTAAGTAACATCCAAGCAGTCATCTAGCAGTTGCAGTGAGTATGAATCTTGATCATCGAGAGCAAAGAAGGAAGGAAGGGTGATTTTATAAAGCAGGGAGCATCAGGAGTCAAGGTGAACAAAACTTGTGAGTGTGTTTAAAGTGTTGGAAGTCAACATTAGTCTGTCCTGTAACAATTCTTAGTTATGCTGCAATAGCTTAGATTGTTGGGGGCCACATGACACATGGAGCCTCTCTTTCCTCCTCTTCCTCCCCATCACATTAATGTTTAATCAATACATGTTACTCCTTCCCATTGTGCTTTATGGCTTCCAAATCCAGGATCGCTGCTGCTGCTGCCACATCATAGATCGACACCGTGATGATGGACCGTGGATCGTGGTCATGGAGGTTTGTAGATTGAGGATCGTGACCACGATGATTATCACGGCAACTGATCAAAGATTGTGGTGGTTCGTGATCGTGGATTATGATTAAAACTAGATTGCTTAAATATACAATATAATCTCATATTTTCAACCAAATGTTACACCTCTATTGCATCTTTCAAATTAAGTAGTTCACGTTCATTTGTTTAATTTTTTATTGGGATGATTTTTATTAAGCGATTCGATGGTGTCGGATCATGTCTGCGTGTTGCTCCACTCAATTTAACAGTGACTCCTGCTGTTCATGTCACGTCTCGTGTTGTACTGAGCACAAAATGTTGACGAGTCATTTTCATGATGTTTAAATGTAGACACCTAAACTCTGGAGCGAATCAAACAAACACTAAGTTATTTCACGTGCTGATCAGGTCCTGATAACTGATGAGGGTTCATTAGTTAAAGTGAGAGCAGGTCAGAGTGGAGGAGCTCGATACGAACCAACTGCAGCTTCTGCTCTGATCATGAAGCAGCTGTGGACCAGAGAGAAACTCTGTGTTTTCACTGTTTCCACTGTTCTTCAACACAGTCACCCACCGGATGGTTCATGGTAACGCTTCTCATCTCACTGTGTAACGCTCTGAGCGCGTGTGTGTGTGCTGTCTGGGAGCACACACACACATCTTCTCACTCTTGGTATTTAACATTGTGGCATGATATGATGATAATTTAAAAAAGTTAGTAAACATGAGTGAAGTTCACTCTCGCTGGAGTGAAAGCTGGAGTTCATTGGAGCAATCTTTAACTTTTCATGTGGCTCTCTGAGTTTTTCACATTTATTAGCCCCCTGTTAATAGAGGGGTTTTTTTTGTAGTTTTTCTGTATTTTTGCTGAGGGTTAAGAGCAGAGAATGTTGCACCTTGTTAAGCCCTATGAGACAAATTATGTTTTCTGACATAAAAATTTAAATTTCATTGATTGATTGATTGATTTCCACTCCTTCACAGCTTTATTATATGAACTTCCTCTGGCCATTTATTCCAAAAAGTCAAAGAGAAAGCAAGGGGAAGTTCATGTAATAAAGTCGTGGAGGGCGGGAGTGGATTAAACCAGTTACAGAGTAACCGCCCGCATGGGACTTTCTGAAGTAAAGCGAATGCCAATTTCATTGGTTGACCAGTGGTCAACATGACACCTAACAATTTATTGGTTGAGGACTTTTGACAGGGTTGTAAACACAAAAAAATCCAAGAGCAGAGGAGAAATCTCAACCATTGGCTGTTTAACTATTTGGGTTTAAATGGATTGTTAATGTTAAAAACTGTTTATCAGCTAAAACATCGATCAATAAATCACATTTGTAAAGCTTATCTTCACAAATCCCAGTTTGTTTAATAGGGCTTGACAAGATGCAACATCCTCTGCAAAAAAAAACAAAAAAACACCTTTCACATGGGAAAAAAACAGAAACCTCAAAGAGAGCCACGTGAAGCAATCCCTCTCCCAGGACGGAGAGAATTGCAATAGATGCTAAGAGTAGCAGAGCATGACCAGCTGCCAAGATGATCCACAAACACAATCAACCACCACAATCTACGATCAGCTGCGATCACCATGATCACCTCACATGATCGCGACCTGCTCCCTTCCTGTATACAAAATGAAACAGGTCGTGATGCAAACAAAACAGATTACTGAGATGTTGGAAATGATCACAGCACCTGACTGGCAGGTCCAAACCCCTCCTATAGCCTGCTGTTAGATTGTGATAACATGGTGCTATAAATTATGCAACTGCGCTGCATCCAGACACAAATGTGCGATTTGGATTTAGGGCTGAATGGTACAGGCATTCAACAGGTATGTCCATCGTAGAACATTATTTGCTAATGCAAAATGATTACAATATGAACTTATCTTGAAGGAAGCTTTGTAAGGTGATAAATTCACCTGTCCATCTCAAGAACTGCTTTTATACCTTCTTCTAGGAGTGCAAAGCCTTTTCTACAGTGGTCACCAACCCTTTGATTGTGTTGACCAGTCAATCTCTAAAACCATCACTGCTGATCCCCATAACTCTCTGGACTCACTGACTGCGGTTGCTCCACAGACCAGCTGTGTGTTGGTTGTCTGTTATTAGCACGGGCAGTGTGTCCGCTACTGGCGGCGGAGCTGCTGGTTTATGTCCTGCATTTCCTTCAATACAGATTATGTACTAAACTAAATGTCAGGACTCCGCGATATGAAGACATGCATCTTCAGGTCTGTCGACAACAATCAAAGCCCTGTTAGAACAGATGAATGGATTTAGAAAGGGAAACACTGGAGTGCTTTTACTTTGAAACGGGTTCAGGAAATGTTGGAAATAGGTTTATGTCAAAGACAGATAAACTTTGTGGTTCACAGCAGAATGAACAGAGAAAATTATTATTTTTTTCATTATTAGTTTTAATGTTTATCTGAAGAATTCATGTCATGAACATAAATGATTGCAACACTTTCTGTAAGCTTTTCAAAATAAAAGCCGAATTATTTTTTTTGCTTTAAAAAAACGGTTTTATTGTGAAATATTTGCAGGGGCGGCAGATGCAAGGCTTCATACTGTATTTATTATACTTGTATTTATTTGAGTATACAGGACTACTTTTATACAAGGAAATAGTTATATTTATGGCCATATTCAAGGCAAAGCCTATATATATAGACATTGTGCTGTGGTAGCAGCTCCTCTGCAAAACATATTGTTGAACTGAAGCTAAATATTGTGCATTGAACAGATGCTGTAAATATGAAATGATATTAATGTGCATATTGTGCATTGAATAGATAAAGTTGCACAACTGCCTTTCTTTCTGTATATTTCTGCTCGTACATTGAGCCTTTAATAGAAATTGCATATGACCATCCTAAGTGGGCTTTGTGGACAGGGTGGTAGATTTTGGCTTACATTTGGAATTAAAAAGTGACCTTGGGCTCGAAAACATTGGGAACCACTGCTTTACATAATATATCCACAGACTTCAAGCGCTACTCAGACAAACACAGTTAAGAAAAGGCAATGACAGACAATTATTTTAAGTTTCTGAGGCTGTGCCAGTATTGTGGTTAAAATTATATGAATGGCATCTTCATCAGCACACGGTGGTGACAAGGTTTTGTGATTGGCAGTTAAAGTATGAGCTGTTTCCATGAATAAAGAGTAAATAAAAATAATTGTAAATATTATTATGGGGTCAGATCAGTTTCAATATTCACGGAACGATTCACAAATGCACACAAAAGCATTTACAAATACATTTAAATGCACACACAAATAGCCATCAATGTATATAAATGTAAAAAAAAATTACAAATAAAAAAAGTTTCACAAATATATTTTTGCATTTGTGTGTCGGATTTTTCTATTTGTGTGTGGATTTGTATGCATTTGTATGTATCTGTGTGTGGACCGGACACAGACCTATCTGTAGCCAATCAGATGGCACCCTCATTTTCAGCCAATCACATGAGCGCAGCCCCATGAGGGTAATGAGCCCAACAGCATTACTATGAGTTTTTTTATGCTGCTCTTATTAAAGAATGGCATAAAATATGGCATTCTGGTGGAGCGCTTTTTACGCCGCTATGTTAAGCAAGTGGAAGTGGCATTAAATACAGTGCTGTGTGCTCATTGAACACTGCTTTTTGCGCTGTCCGGTGGACAATCACACGGGCTGCGCTCTGTGATTGGCTAAAAATGAGGGCGGCATCTGATTGGCTGCAGATTGGTCAGTGTCCAAAACAATACATATGTGAATCCAGCGCGTCAGGGTATTCTCACAAAACGCACAAATGTAGCGAGATCCACACACAAATACATACGAAATCCACACACAAATGCAGAAATCTATTTGTGAAACCTTTTTTATTTGTAATTCATTGTTTTACATTTATATACGTTGATAACTATTTGTGTGTGCATTGGAATGTATTTGTAAATCCTTCTGTGCATATTTATGAATCCTTCTGTGTGCATTTGTGAATATTGAGACTGATCTGACCCCACATTTTATCAACTACAATGTACAAGTACTGAAGTTAATAAGTAAAAACATCTAGTTGTCTACTGTAGCTACAAAACATCTATCACTAGTAACTGGGAGAAAGTGTAAGGGTGTGAGACAAAGGGGGTGACAGTTTAAAAGGTAAACAAATCAGTGTATAGATCACTACATTGGTATCAAAGACAGCACTTCAACATTTTCTTTGTATAGATTACTGAAATACATTGATCAACTGAAATGATTATAAAGGATGACAGGGAATGGAAAGAGAATAGGGTGGATGTACAGTACATAATATTATTATTGTTATATAGATATTATTCATATAATCATTAACAATCACAAAAATATTGACACAAATCGTTCCTAAAAATGTAAAACAAGGGAACATACAGGTTTTTTTTCTTTATACCACATCTTTTGATTAATTGATTATTAAGTTTCAAAAAACAGTCCAGCATTCAGCTTCCCATGGTTTGTGAAAGTAATTTGTAAAATGTCTTTGTTGGCACAGAGGGGAAGAATACAGCATTTACATTAAAGGGATAGTTCAGTGAAAAATTGAAATTCACTCATTATCTACTCACCACTATGCTGATGGAGGGGTGGGTGAAGTGTGGAGTCCACAAAACACTTGGAGTTTCAGGGGTAAACAGTGTTGCAACCAAATCCAATACAATTGAAGTACCTGGTGATCAATTTTTCAAATGTAAAAAAACAACAGAAAAAACCCATAACATGCCTCCATACTGCTCCTGTGGTGTCATCCAAGTGTCCGAAAGCCCTGACGTTCATATTCCACTCGAAATGGCGCCATTTACACCAAGTTTTAAGCCTAAAAGTCCTCATACACACTGCACACTAGCTCTCGACCAGGGGCATGCGTAGGGTGTACACTGCATTGTTTTGTGGACTCAAACACTTCACCCACCCCTGCATCAGCATAGTGGTGAGTAAATAATGAGTGAATTTCAATTTTTCACTGAACTATCCCTTTAATCAGTTCATACAATTCAATTCACTCCACACTTTATAGGAGAGACTGACTCTGTAGTTATACCAAATTCATGTTGACAGGAAATTTTATAACATTCATATTTTCATTTATTTTTTAAATAACTAATGTACAATGTCTAATCGGTTCTCTGGTCTGCACACAACACAACACACAGGACGGGGGTAATAACCAACAATCATCTGCACGTCTTCCTCAGGACGGCTGTGACTCAAAAGGTAGAGCAGGCCATCCAGTAATAGTAAGGTCAGTGGTTCAATCCTCCACTCTGCACGTTGAAGCGTCTTTGGACAAGAAACGAAATCCCAAATTGCCCCTGATGCCTGTGCCCGCAGAGTGAGAATGGGATGTGATTGAAGAATGTGTATGTCAATGGTCAATCGTGAGTTGTAGTATTGTGAGTTGTAGTATAAAGCACTTTGAGTGGTCATTTTGACTAGTAAAGTGCTTTACAAATGCAGTCCATTAACTCAGGAAGAAATACAAGTTGCCAAAAATACATCTAACATTTGTGTGACACCAGTGAAGACAATTAGAGTGTATAAGACAAACCGTGAAACACAAGGAAACAACTGATGAGTCTGGTGCTCCCAGAAATATCCTTTGTGCTTTAGATTGACTTCTTTTAACGGTGCTGAGATCCAGAGTCACCGTCACACAGAGAATGAGGAGAACCTGTCTGCTGGGTGTCAGAGTGCAGAGCCACACACACTTGTGTGATAGATTGATAGATAGATGGCATAAAGGTAGCCACAGCTGAAAGGCAAAGAGCATACATACATGTTCCAAAAATGGAACAATAGTCTCAGACTTTTGGAACCCAAAGTGGATCTGTAATTGGATTGTTGTTACCTCACTCGTGCAACAAATGGTACTCCAGTGGGACAGTTGATGTCCTCCCATTCTGTGTGATGTGGACCTTTTGCCTGTTCACCCACCTCTTTATATCACTAAATTAATGGAACACAATATACATTTGCACACTTGCTTTTAAATCTGATGTAGTATTAAAAAGACAGCATTTTCTTTTTTCTCCAGACAGCAAAACATTTATAAAAGTGGACTTATTTGAAAATAAAATATTTGAGTCCTCTTATTGCCAAAAATACATTGGTTTAGTGACCACATTGCTTGAACCAAAGCTACAAAGTGTTACTGGTGTCTTCTGTTGTTTCGATGAACCAATACTGTCTCTTGTGAGTCCCATTGGTTTACTTACAATGTCTTTGTATGTGCAAACTGACAACCTGCCAATCATCAAGTATCCATAGTGTCTCAGCTAACACACACACACACATACATACAAACACACACACACGCACACCCACTCACACACAGAGAGAGAGAGAGAGAGAGAGAGTAGTAGTAAAACATACATTGTTGTGTGAAGATAGAAACAAACGAATGCACATAAATAATCAGAACTAAATACTTAAAAGTTACTGATTCTAAATCCACAACTAAAAGGTCACAGTTTCAGAAAATCTAGAAAAAAAGATTCAAAAAATAAACCATTTGATCTCTACACAATAACTCCAGTACAGTCAGAGTGGATCAGTGTGTCTTTTTTTCCTGTGATGATTTTTGACTTTTTTCGTGCTGTTCTTCATCTGGTGTCCCCTCCACCCTGGCTTTCTGCATGGATGTTGTAGTGGTTAGTGCTGCAAGGCATCACCTGCACACAGTAGTTGAAAAACTGTACTCAATGACCAAAAAGCCAGTCAACGTTTGTAGTGTCTTACTTCACGCACAGCACAGGGTATCAGCAGGTGTGTACTTTAAGAGTGTACTTTAAGACTAAATATACATGTTCGAGATTGTTTTTAGACCATGATCTTGTTTCTGCTACTTCTGCTACAGTAAGAACATTTAGTCACAGGATTGTGTGATCAGAACATGATTCTACTCATAAAAAAGCTTGCTAAAAGGAGATTTACTATATATCATCCTGCAAGAAGTCAGAACAGTATAAAATTCCAAATAGTAAGTTAAACAACCTCAAAAATGCAATTGAAGAAATAAACTGGAATGAATACCATGCACAGAAAAATATGGATGATAACTGTAATTCGTTCATGGCAAAACTCCTAATAATGATTTTATGAAAAAATTAAAATGCAAATCAGGCCAAAGGAACTATTTACCACAGTTAAATGAAAAATATGTTAAACAAAGGGACCATGCTCAAAATGGCTCTTAAGAATAAAGGCGGCTATTTACCAAACTGAGAAACAAGATTGTTAAAGAAAGACAAAAGCAACATTTTTCATTAGCACTATTAGTGAAGCAAAAGGAAATGCTAGGGAAATCTAGAAGAACTTAAAGAAATGACCTGGAAAATCTTATAAAATCACATTTTGGACAGCCGAATTCAATGCAATTGAAGTCATTTGCGACCACTTCTTCAAACGTAATAAAACAACAGAAAAAACATAACATGCCTCGATACTGCTTGTGTGGTGTCATCCAAGTGTTTGCAAGCCCTGAAATTCATATTTGATAAAATGGTGTCATTTACACCATGTTTTTAGTCTTCTTTGTGTAAGGCACCCCTTTTATATCCTTAGACACTTGTATTCCTTTCCTTTTGTCAGTTTTTTTCTGATTGTGTGTCATCAAGACCCCCTATTGATGCGCTGTGAATCCTGCTGTGTTCTCATACAGGCTCATTTTGACATTATCTGGAGTTTCTACTGGGGGACTGACCATGTACACTCAGCAGAAATTCGGGGCTCTTGCATTCTCACATAAAGCCCCTCCTGAGAAAGTTCAGAGGTTCTCCGGAGTTCAGTGCATGTCTAAAAGTAACTTCAATTTGGAGTTGGCAGGTGGAGGTGACGGCTGCACTACACACACTGGTGGAATAGCTGCCAATGAGCTGTGACTTACACATCTTCAAATACCATCGGAAGATTACATCAGTCATCTTACTATATGAGAACAAATCAATTCTGTTTATAAATGTGTTAAAATCAATTCAACTTATAAGTGACCTCAGCCTAAATGTGAAAATATGTGCGCGCTACCAACAATAACTGAAGGCTACCATGAGCATTTTCCAGTGTGTGATTGACAAGAGGGGCTTCATCATCAAAACAAAACAAAAGGATATTTTCCATGTTTAGATATGGCAACATGAGATTAAAGACCATATAAAGTCTGGGTTTGAGGACCACACAGAGAGTACCAGCCTCACACATATGTATATATTGTGTATTTTATCTAGTTTTATTTAGTCAAGTAAAAGAAAATTATGTGGAAGCACCATTGCATAATTATGTAAATACTAAGGATGTGAAAGCAGAGGAGGAACCACATGTATGACTGAGCCACCCCCTACCTGTAGTCCAGACTAAATGGGAAATGTCAGAGAAAGCAACAGGAGGTGGAGCTATATAACACAGAGTTTGAAGGATGTTTGTTTGCATACATGAGTCAAGTCAAGGGTGTTTTACGATTAAACAACTGGCATCACAGAGAGAATACAAGTATGGATTAGAATGGAAATCAACGTTTTGACAACTTTTCAAAGGGCTGGCCATTTTAATACATACACACTATAAACAGTAGTACACTGTTCTAGCACTAGTACTGTACCAGTGTACTGTGCTGGCACAAACCTTGTGAATAGCTGTGTCAGCATATTTAGACACAGTCTCTGCAATATCCTATGGCATGATGGAAGCAAAAATTAAAGGGTAAATAGAAAACAAAAGGTGTGTGTGGGCAGAAAGGTTTGTGAAACGGAAATATTATATGATACCAAAAATTAAGATGGCCACTAGTCACCTGTTAGCTTTCAGTGGTATCCATTCGTAAAAGCTGTCGCAATCAGTGGACCCTAAAATGTACAATTGAAAAAAAGAAAGTAGCAAATTACAGGTGAGTGTAAAGTTCATTCACAGTATGTGATGGCAGCATAAATGAAAATAGATCTCTGTTCCTTCAAAACAATTATTTATTTGGCAATTTATCCTCAATTTGAGAGGCATCTGCATAGAGACACAACTGAAGAATCCACTGAACGTGACTTGGATTCAAGTCCACATCCATTTAGGCAATCTTAAACAACTCGTTAAACCAACTCTCCTCAATTTAATAGCAGGCAGCTTTTAAGATAGATAGCCAGTAAAATATAAATAATTTGGTTATAGTGATCAGGTAATTAGCTGACAGTGTTCATCTTGAGTCTTTTCCTACATGTTTGGACCAAAAAACTGTATTTTTTACAGTTTTACCGGCTCTGTCAGTATTTTACTGCTCCTCTCTGTGTCTTCTATCACTGCCAACCAAATCGAGCCAAACTGCCATCTCCTCTGGCTCTACATACATTGACCAAGTTTACAAATTATTACAAAGAGAGAGAAAGAAAGTGAGCAAGCAGAGTCAGGATAAGCAATGAAGACAGATTTGACTCATTTAAGAAATGTATAAATCATTATATGGTGATCAGTGTTGACATTGTGGCGTAATTTCAAACAAATCGCTGTTTAAGCTGTACGTCAGAGATGTAAGTGGAGTTGGTGTGTGTCTCTGTGTGTGTGCTCATGAGTCAGCGCAAGAGAGAAAGAGAGAGAAAAGTGAGCGGCACAGTCAGTGTGTCAGTGCACAGTGGGATATCGGCCATCGCTTAAAATCCTTATAGTGATGAATTTGGCCAGATACAAACGTGATCACTATAACGATTCCACTGTATTACACCTGTATTATTAAACCATTTGTAAGGGTAATTTCTGACTTGACCTATATGAAGTGTTAATGTTACCAAAAAAAAGGTGTCATGACTCTGGACTTCGCCTCTTGAATAAGGAATATTTTGGTTTTAATTGTAGACTCTTTGTTTGTTTTGCCTGTACCTGGTTCTCCTTGTGTTTGGATTTGTGTTCTCCCTGAGTTTTCACTTTCCCATTTTTAATTTATAGTTTGGCTTCTTGTTTGTGCTAATTTACCTCCTGTCTTTGTCCTGTTTCCTGCCCCTGTGATTGTCTGCACCAGTTCCTCATGTGTTTCATCTGTGTCCAATTAACCCTGCCTCCCTGTGTATATAAGTCTCTGTGCTTCCCTTTGTCTTTTGCAGTTTCTTGTCTTACATGGCCGTCTCACCACCCTGTCGTCATTCCTCCTCTATCATCCCTCTCTTGTGAGTTCTAGCATTTCCTAGCCTTTTCCCTGTTTTTCTGTTTAGCCTTATTGAGTTTTTGAGTACTTTAGATCACCGTGTTTTCAGTCATTGGATTGTGCCACTTTTTGTAAGAACCTTGCGTTAATTAAAGTACACTTTTGGTTATATTGTTGTCTCTGCATTTTTGGGTCCACCTGCTTCCATAAAAACCTGACAAAAGGAAGTGTCACCATGGAAACACAAAGGGATAGCTTAATCTAACCTTTTCACTTGAGCTTTTTCTCAACTAAAGACACGAGGTGTAGCGGGCCACTGGTAATCAAGCCAGCAGCTAGAGTAAAAGTAAAATATTACTGATTAAGGAGGTGGACAATCCAAAAGTTCTCTATTCAGTTCTGATAATTTCTATTTTACATTCTTATAACCAGCAGTGAAGTCAGGGGAAAGGGCAGAGAATGTGTTGAGCCGCAAAAAGTTAGTGGAGAGATTCTCAAATGATAGATGATGATAATGAAAAAAAGATACACTCACAGCAATGTTGTGGCTGAAACCAGATCCTGGCTGAGGGCTGGTGGCACTGATATAGTTGCTCACACCAGAGTCCTGACTGGCGGTTCCATAGTGGTCGGCTACAGGACCAGGACTGTTGGCACCATGAAAGGGTCCAGGCCGAGTTGGATGGGTTCCTGTTGAGGAAAGGCCAAAAGACAGATAAGCAAGATAATCTATAACTGGCACTCAGAGATAAATGCTGACTACGACCAGGCAAACAAAGAGAAAGCAACCCTAACCCATCTGATTATTTTAAGTTAATGGTGGTATATATATATATATGTATGTATACATATATATATATATATGTATATAGAAGATCAGCTGAAATTAACTGAGATAGAATTGTGAAACATCTTGGTCTTTATGAGATATATTGGAGTAGTTTACTGCATATATAAAGTTTTTTAATTGTTATAGTTGATTTTAAAGCTCAACATAAGTACAATTTTTTCACATCACCAAAATGTAAAGGGGAAAAAACAAGTCCTTAATTTCAGACTCTTTTTCTTTGCAGTTATGACTACCGGACAGTTTATGAAGCCAAAATCTTCACAGGAGAAGTGGGCACAACACCCCTCATCTAATCAACACCTGAGCCTCCAGCACTCTTCACCACATCCACATTCCCCTCCCCTCTATATCTCCGTGCTGCTTCTTCTCCAGCCTCTTTAAATATATGAAGGTGATTATCTTCTCCAAAGCACTTGGGGTATTGGATCTAGCTGCCTGACAGGCAGGAAATTACACAGGGTGTCCTGGGTATTTTGAGCAGAAATATTTCATGGACTCACCTCATCAGAGTAATACTGAAGAAGAAAAGTACTGCAGAACACCATCTTAAATGTTTTTAGGATCTATTCATGGGCTGCAGTAGTTAGGCGTATATTACAGTATATATGCACAGTAGAATATATAAACAAAGATAATGGTACAGTGCAGAGAATGTCTCGGGTGTTTACACACACACACACACACACACACAAAAGAGAGACTAAGGTATTCCAGAAATAGGTATTCAGTCAAGGATCATGACTAATAGATCGCTTTCCCTTACCACCACCTCCAACTCTACATTGTGCGTGTGTGTACAAATATATGCTGAATATGCCAAAAAAGGCAGTGGTTAAATATGAATCAGCTTTATTAAAGCTTTATTCAAATGTGACAGGATTGGTACGATGAGCCTTAAGATCTCCACAGGCGTGTATACTGACAAATCCTTAAGATTTGTCAGTATAGACTCACTCATCATTCAACAGGTTGCATTCTCTGGATCCCAATATTTGAGGGAAAAATCTGTAATCGAATGACAGCTATACACAAAGAGGTATCCTCATTTGTCTTTTGTTTGTAGGAACTATGATCTTCAGACAGTTACAGTCTGGATCCAAGGTCTCAAAGAATAATGTGGACACTTTCTGTAAGTCCCTAAAAGTAATGCGCCAATGTGAAAATACACAATGAAAAAATAACTAATGACAAAATTAAATGAAATTGATAAAAAGCAAGCACTGTTGCAAATCATAACTGCACACTCCTTTCATCCCCCCCTTGGGTTGTTGATGAGCTGTGTTTGTCTGTGTAGATGTAACAGAGACCTGGAAATACAGACCTGGGCTCTTAAAAGGTTGCGGGCTGTGCAGGATGTGCTGGAGGGAGGTGGGAGAGTTGCAGGCCGAGCTGGCATGCTCACTGGGCAGGATCTGAGTTGCCGTCTGGGCCCCCAGGGAGCCATAATCAGCCAGGGAGTAGGCTCCTCCCCGCACGTCACTGCCATGTCCAGATGCAGAATACAACCCATAATCAGGGAACCCTGGAAGATAAGGAGGTGGGGGTGGGGGAGGGAATGAATGGGAGTGTGACTTCATCACTGACGTTTATAATGACCTTGACTGATTGACAGAATTTCTCTGTTGATGTGTTCCTGTTATTTCAAAACTGGCCAATAAATAGTAAAACACAATCAGATAAAAAACATCAGTCATTATTAAAATGACTGATGCAATGAGAACTCTTTGACTAGTTCAGGGCAGTAAGGAAAAACAATCTTTAGCCATGTCAAATTGATGTAGCTTGCTTTTGCTTTGAGACTATGCACACACACATACACACACACACACACAAAAGCAAGTGGCAGTTTAAAAGGAAATAAAAAAACAATAGCAAAAAAAACATCCATCCATGATGAATTTACATAACAGGTACTGCTACATATAACTGTATGTTTACTATCACCAAATTTAGAGGAGAAGAAACGTATCCTCTTTATCCAATTTACCAGCAGTATGTACAGTAATTGTTAGCGTGTTATAGCGTGATTATGTGTGTGTTTGTTTGTGTGTGTCTAGTGGAACAGATAAATGAGAGAGTGCATGGAGACAGTGTCAGGCTACACAGAATACTGACAGAGCGTTTACCTGCCCTTGCATTCTGCCCATATGCCATTTAGCTGCCACCTCTTCCATGGGTCCCCCTACCTGATCCACGAGCTGTTGCTACTGCTGTAACTGGTCCATACGCTGTAGCTGGGAAGCCTGAGAAAAGAGCAGGAAGGGCAGTCAACATTCTGTTACTATGACTATACTATGACTACAACATGTTGATTACAAGGCCAAAACGCTTGACGCTAAGTTATGTCCCTAACATCCGCAGGTGGCTGCTAACACCTGATAACATCTAATGGCAGTTGGTAACATAAAATTGCGCTGAAGACCTTCAGAGTTAAAAGGGATATATAATAATATCTTGTGGCTGATTTATGTGACAGTACAAATAAAAGTATTAACATGTCAGTTCTAACTTTAAAGTTCAAAACTCACATTAAGTTAAGGTTTATGTCGTTTGGAGATCGTCCCTCCAGCATCAGTCATTTCATTAACTATGACTGGAGCAATTTGTGATATATTCAAATGTATTTACTACTGAGGCATGACCATGACCATTATCAAACATTAACTAAGTGCTAATTACTGCACAGGCATCACAACAACACACATGCTTTTGTGTGTTGTTGTGTAGTTAATGGACATATCAACATCTCTACATTTAAGGTTAGACTTTAAACATTCCTTTTTGATAAAGCCTGCAGTTATGGCTGGTCAAATGTCTAGGTCCCTGTGAACCGTCAAATCAATATTTTCGCCTCCCGATATCTTAAGATTGGCTTGATGGAATGTCTTCAGATTTGGCAAAAATTGTCACTTAGAGGTAATAGCGAAAACAGAAGAATTTATTTTTAAATGTACTCAAGGGAACAGCTCATGGTACACATGTTTTTCACATTATTTTAAAAATTATTTTTAACATTTTCAATCAACCAAATAATGTTTTTGTGTGCAGCTTTGTTGCTAGATGACTGCTGTAAGGGTGGGACAAGCTGAAAACCAGGTTGTCCTCATTAAGATCTGATAATGTGCACACAAGTTTGACTGGCAGCATATTTAAAAAACGAGGAGATCAAACACATTATTCAAATTAGAAAGAAACACAGTTATAGCTGCTAAATGCAGGAAGAACAGCTACTAAAAGGTGAATCTGTAAACTATCTTTCCCCCATTCAAAATAAAAAGTTAATTTCACAGGATAAACTACTTAAAGGGAAGGATAAAAATATTAAACTATGTCTGGTTATCCTGACGCTAAAACCCTCAGTACATTTATATCAGTAATTTAAGTAAAGCAATGTAGCTCAATGCAGACAGTCTGTGGTACTGTGTGTGCATTGCTCCTACATGTCAGGTTGGTGTTCAGCTCCAGCTGTTGACAAAGATTTATCATTCCCTCAGATGAGAATCTAGGAAAGGTTTATTTCTCCATTTACGATGATCAACATGGTTTTTACTAAAAAGCATTAATACTAAGTTTAAAAGAAACATTTAAAATGTATTGTGGGATTTCCCATCAGCTGCAGCTATTGTTGCTGTGCGTTAAAATTCTGTGATAATTATGTCACTAGGTTTGTTTCTGGGGGGAAACCTTAGGTTGAAAATCTGATTGTAGATCAGCTTGGATACTTTTTGATTCTATCGAATGTGAACCTAATGTAGATTGTGAAACTTGTGGTGTTGAAAAAGTCAAAAAAGTATTGACAGTTTTGACAACCCCAATTTCCAATTTAGTCATGTCTCCTGCATCAATGCAATTTTTTCATATTTTTCATAATGGCAGCAAAAGCCCTCAGGCAATAACAATTGAAACGGACCCCAGGCTGTGACAGCATTGCACATTCATCCTGAAGAACCCTGCTAAGATCTACATGTGTGTGTGTGTGTGTGTGTGTGTGTGTGTGTGCGTAGGTGTGTTTGTCTGTGTGTGTCAGAAGGGGAACCAAATCATTTAAAGTAACTTACCTGGGAACTGGTAGCTATAGCTTGGGGCAAAACCAGTGTAGCCTCTGCCATAAGTAGCCACAATGTTAGGATAACCTGGAGAAAGACAAGAGATGAAAAGAAATTATAGAAAAAAATGGACATATTTTTCTAACCACAGACAAAGTATTAAAAACTACGACACCTTTGACAAATACATTTATAGCAATCTGTATTTGTTCGAAGCAAACCCATACTGATGACATGCATTTGTCTATTTCAAAAAAAACTTCAGTTTTTCTCTGTGGAATGGCAAATGGTCTTTATTTATATAGTGCTTTTCTAGTCTTGATGACCACTCAAAGTGCTTTACAGTACAGTTTATTGCAATTTACCCATATCCCTGCATTTAGTAAAACATCATTCTGTAATTTGTTTTCCTTGACATAATAATTTAGCTTGAATTAAAAACTTTCCGATTATCTGCAAATACGTCTTTTTAGACTTACAATAAAAATGCCTCATTTGACTGATTCCATGACCAGTACACCTCCCCCTTTCAGTTGTGTATGCTTTTAAAGAAGGAAACATATATGATATGGTAATGCTGCTTTATCCTCCTCTTTGAATTGAAATTAAAACACAGCCAACAAGCTTTAGTTAAAGAAAGGTATTAGGTTATGTAAAATGAATGTATTCAGCTACAACAAACTGTGTGCGTACTTAGCATGCCCATGCCCAGCATGAAGGCCTCCATTGTGTATGGTAGGCTCCTTGCCCGTCCGCGTGTCCCGGGAGGAAACATCACTTCCTTAGGCTGGGCCTTTTTACATTCTACCTGTGGAGTATAGACAAAATGTAAATTAAAGCTGCAAGTAGCATTGATTGCATGTTGTGGATGCTGGTGAAATGCTTGTTGATGCAGCTTTGCACTTCTGCACCAAACAGATATTAAGATCCCTTATATCAAGTTTAGACCAGACTAGAAAATGTCTTTCAAGCCAATGTTCCACACCTATTCCAAATTGAGGAACCAAATTGATGTGATTACTAATTTAAAATCCTTAACACCTCAAAAATATTTGTAAATTGAAATCTGATGCAGAAAATCCACAGTAACGATCCAAGACGAAACCTTTTCTGACCCAGAGCACAGCCTCTATTCACAACACTTATTCGCTATGCACGGGGGCATATCTCCATAACTTGTGAAGTAAAACCATACGGCAGCGTCTGAGCTGGCTGAGCTCGGAGCCTGGCCGAAGGGGATGCCCACAGACCACATCGTGGTTCACAAGCCCGGTGGTGGAAGACGTCGGGACCTTTGGCTGAAAAGCAGGAGTTATCCATAACCCACCTAGTCAGTTAGTCCCCCTACACATAGGTTAGTGAGGCATATGATACAAATAAACTGCATACACTGCAGGGAATGATTTAAATGTTACAAGGTGAATGTAAAGGAATTAGCTTTGAGAGTAGGTCTGGCATTTAATAATAGCGAGCCACTTCACTTCGCCTCGTAACACACACTGTTAACTTACTTTACGACTTGTTAAGACTCTGATTCTTTCAAGATTCAAGTTTACTTGAAATACTGTTGCGCCTTGCCTAGTTTTAACTCATTAATGTCATATTACACCATCTCAAAAATCACTTTATGCTATGATAATCAAATTTGGTTCAGATTTGCAGCTGCACTGTCATGATTGTTGGCATATTTTTGTTGACCTTGACCTTTGACTGATCATTTCCAAAATAAATCATCATAATTAGAGATAATTACTTAAAGGTCCAGTGTGTAAGATTCAGGTGAAAGAGATCTATTGGCAGAAATTGAATATAAAATAATCCTAGAGATGTTTTCACTGGTGTGTTTCATCTAAATTGTAAGAATTGTTTTTTTCTTTACCCTAGAATGGGCCCTTTGTATTGAAATACTTTATATTTACCTCGGGAGAAGGTCCACTCTAGGGAGTCCACCATGTTTTTTACAGTAGCCCAGACTGGACAAACTATATCCTTTTTAGTTTTAATGCCAACTGAAGGTGTGACAGACAAACAAACTACTGTCTGTGTGTGTGTGTACTCGCACTGCCAGTCTACATCCCGACTTGTCCACTATCAGTTTCCACACCACACCAAGGAAGATCAAAAATGTATCAGAATCTTTCTCAGACATTCTGTAAAGTGATGGGAGCCACTCACCATTTTATTATTGATTTCATGGAAATGGATCTCGCAGACTTTCTCCACCACATCCTCTATTTCAAATGTTACAAAGCCAAAACCTGCAGAGGAGACAGAGGGATAGAGAAAATAGTGGGAACAGAAGAGAGACACAGGAGGCAGGAAATAGAAAAGAGAGACACAGGAGGCAGGAAATAGAAAAGAGAGACAGGGACAACTGGTCATTATTCTGCAAAAGCATGATTCAATTAAAGATGAGAGCAAACATTATTTGTATTGATTAAGAAATAGAGATGTACACGTACAGCTCTGCTTCTCCAGGTTCACAGATGTACACTCACTATAGATTTCTTATTTTTCTTGCTGCTGCACAACCTGTGTCTGTACATGTACTGTATGTGCTTTGTGTGTTATTTACTTTTGACACTTTCTCATATCTAACTCAGGCTTTGGTGTGATAAGAATATCAAGTTGTTTTGTTTGGGAGGAAGGAAAACTTTGTCTCCAGAGAGGTAATGAATCTAGATGAATCTTCTGACAAACCTTACAGCACACTATGCACAAATGAGCACATTTTCTTATTGGTCATATTTTGTAATAGAGAGTAATTAAGTAACATAAATCAATTTTATTGTAAAGCCTGCTCATTAATTGCTGAAAGTTTCATTACTTATGAACCAGATCTATTGGGAATTTTGATATTTTACTATTTACTTTTCAAATCTCAGAAGGTTAGTGGCTCAGCCACAGGGACTAATGATAATGATACAAATACAAAGGCACAGGGTGGAATAAAAAAATACACTATTGTTGTGTTTATATAGGTTGTGTCAAGTATGAGCAATCACAATTACTACTTTGACCCTCTCTTAGCAAAGAAGGAGAGCAGCATTCTCTGTTTAACACAGTACCAATATAAGCTCGAGTCTCCTCATACCAGTTTGGGTAAATGCTTGGGATGGATCTCACACTTATTAAGTTTTGTAGGGTATTCAGTGAATTACACACACACACAGTTGGACAAGCTGCCCTCATATGACAGCTTTTCACACACACACACACACACACACACACACACACACACACACACACACACACACACACACACACAAACTGATAGGTGCAAAGTGAGTAAAATCAATGCTAGAACCTTAATGCCAGACCCCAGGAGGAGACACTATGCAAAAAAATGCTGCATCAAAGGAGTTCAAAGGAGTAACCAGCCATATTGGACATTAGAAAAGAAGGTTATGTCTAGAATAGAGGGCACAGAACATGTTTTATTAATGTATAGCTGCTGTTTTCATTCCCATGTGTCGTGCAAATTAATTATTATATCAGATCATTGACACTGACCATCACAAAGCATTCATCTCAAAACAGGTTCACACATGGAGTAGACAACATTGTATACTTTGTCAGCATAATGATGGAGGAATTACTGATATTATTAAAAAATCGAGATTGTTGAGATGAAAGGTTTCTGAGTAATTACAGTTGAGAATTATTGTGGATCACTAACTCATTAAATAACTTCTTTTCAATTTTTCATTCATGTTTTAATTGTCAAAACGTGAAATTATTTGTACAATACCATGTAATTGTAATATGATATGCTATTTCTGTTGTACCCCTGTATAAATAATTAAATATATAAATGTTTTGCTTGTGTAACAAAGGATTACTGGCACAATTCTTCATCACAGAGACGTGACATCATGCATCACACCACAGTATAATTACATAAATGAATGGGCAGATACAATTCTACAATATCTTTTTGTGAATATTCTATTTATCTGTTACTGCAGAATTAAAAGACATAATTCAGCATGAGAAACATGTATGAGAAAATAGAAACACCAGCTACACATTTGTTTGTTTCTCTCCATTAAGTGCTGTTGCTTCTTGCCCCCTGTTTTTAACTCTCTTTTCATTGGTTTCACTATTCATCTTCATCTCACTCTGCACCCTTTTTCAATATACTCCCAAGTGAGAGAAGTCATTAACACACAGACGCACACCAGGACAACATTTTCACAAATGGAATCCAGTATCTACTCTCAATCAAAGCCAGTGGGAGCTCACTGGCTTAAAGTGTGTGTGTGTGTGTGTGTGCTTGATCAAAATGAGATGTTCTGCTTTGTACATTTAAAAGACAAGAAAATTCAGTCTTGATGGTTTCCAAGATGGATTCTCTGCAGTCAAAAAAGGGGCCAAATGAATGGATTCACTGGTTCACTATGCTTGTAGCATGAATGGTTTTTATTATTGTTAATATTATTGTCACTCATTAACTGTCTACACATGGTCTGCATATTATTCTTTGGGACAATTGTAACATCTTGATTGATCAACAATCAAATGTGAAGGAATGATGAAAATCACAAGGTTGAAATTGTGAAAAACGTTGTGACACTAAAAGACATTGTTTCCATCAATACGATCACGCATTTTTTTAATCGATTAACAGTTTGGAGTTTTAATCGCTGTAACTAAATCATTTTCAGGTTAGGTGGCAACTCTTCTTATTCAGTTCCCTATAAGGCACAGTGCACACACGTTCATTCAGTGTACACTTGGACATTTATAAACAATATTTGCACACAGTGCTGTGCTGAGCAACTCACCTTCATCTCTCATGTACTGGTAGTGTCTCAAATTTGCCATTGGCTTTTATCTAATTCTTCTAAGAGACAATCTCCTTGAGCCAATAAAATAAATGATTTAAAAGTTGTATGATTTACAAACTCCACTCCCATTACTTCATGTTCATGGGGCATTCTGGCTGTGTTCAATATGTTAAAAACACATCTGCCATGTGTTACTTGTTGTTTGCTTAATTACACACAATTGCACAGAAAACGTACTAGCAGAATTTGTCCTAATTAGAAAATCATGGCTCCATGTGGAGAAATAAAGTAATACATACATTCTCATATAGTGGCTTTCTCATTAATGGCTTTTACTGATCCAAACAAGTAAAGCACAGTGAATTTCAATAGACATTTGAATTAGAAAGAGGGTTTCATGTGTAAATGTTCCATGAATACACAAACATAGCACTCAGAAATGATGACAAAATCCTATGGTCCCTTTTCACCTTGGGAGGTGTGATGGGGAAACTAGCCAGATTGCACTGAGTCAATAAATAGATTGGCACGCATCAATGGGAATTTATGCCCTTATTTACACATCCTCTTAATCAAAAACAATAAGGAGGAAGGACGACAAGGAGGAGAGAGGAGAAAACACAGTTACACTCTTTAGAAACAGGATCCCATGTAAAGTAAATGAGAGTGGACAGAGGAATCGATTGAGGCAGCAAGCCATCTCACTACATTGTAATGAGCAGAGAGAAATTCGTTAAGCAGACTGATGGGGGCTGGGAGAGAAACACACAAGGTGAATAAGGAGAAAGAGGAGGACAAGCAGGAAAAGGCCTCTGCTCATGGAGTGGCTCTGACTTGAAATAAAGGGATTTAATGTCTATGACGTCTGAAAGTCTGCTTTATTAGACAGGAAGATAAATACAGAGGAATACTGACATTCAGAGAAGGAGTGTTTATTCATATGTAGCCAGAGCTTCAACACCACTGCCTTGATGTGCATGTATGGGTTAAGTAACCATTCAAATGATCTGTTGTTTCAAAATCAGTGCATACAGCAGTAAAACATGGCACACACAAACTGATAAATGAAACAAAACATAAATACTCATAATGACTTGGTGATGCTGTGATTACTATTTTTAACAGGTGGTACTCACCAGGAATAAATATCTCTTCTGTTGCATAAAAAGCAGCTGCGTAACCAATGACCTTTGCAAAAATGGCACATCATAAACGCAGTGAACATGATTCGGTGTAGCACTTTATCTTCCTTGCATTGGAGAAAAATTTCACTATGACCTCAAGAGAAAAAATCTGGCTGCAATAACCCTTTTGGAGCCCCTAGTACATTTGAATGCCAGTGTTTCATACACACTGATCTCAACTATTGCATATTGTAATTGGTTTTCTACCTGATTTTTACCATGTAGTGAATTAGTAAAATTAGGAATATAAAAATAACAATGAACTTTTACTCAGTTTTGCACAAAGAAGGAGCAAATGATTCAATGACACAAATGTTAATAAAATTATGTGGAGAGATGTTGATCTCATATATGTTACTGCAGATAGGCCTGGGCCGATAATCAATAAATCAATTAATCGCACGATAAATTAAAATGAACTCAATAATTTTTCCAGCCTCGATATATCGCCATGTGCATGCGTGTTTGTTTTCCTCGTCTCTCGCCTCCAAGCAGGCTGGATGACAAGAGGGTTCACTCTGTGCTCGGTCTCAGCACCTGGGGGCGTTGGTTGCGGAATGAACGGAGTGAACCCTCTTGTCAGTCATCCAGCCTCTTTGTCTCTGTGGGGGGAGGCGGGGCCGCTAGCATTAGCCACACATGCTACACGCACAGAGTGCAGCGAGTGAGCGTCGTGCGGAGCAACGCGAGGAGAAAAGATGATTGTAGAGTCAAATGCCACAGCCCCGGTGTGGGAAGGTTTCGGCTCCAAACCGAATGAGCAAGGTGAGCCCATCAACACGGACGAGCCAGTTCAAAAGTGGTGGCAATAAAAAAACGCAACACAACAAACTTAAAGCATCACCACCCGACCCAGTTTAACCAGCTGGGGAAACAAAGTGCACCTCGAGATGCACAGTCTTCGTCCCGAGAGTCAACACTCACTGATGCGTTCGGTCGACAAAGTAAATATAAACGGAACAGCGCAAAATGGTGTGCGCTCATTGAAAGTGAAGTTCGCTACATCGCTAAAGGTAAAAAACACTGAGAAATAAAAGTTTATTGTCTTTGAAAGGGTGTGCATTATTATTATATATATTATCATGTTGACAATAATATCGTTTATCGACGATAATTCGTGTGACAATATATCGTCCAGCAAAATGTGTTATCGTCCCAGGCCTAACTGCAGGAAGCTGCATTACATCCGTTATTTGGGGTGGCTGTGACTGACTGACTTGAGTGATCATCAAGACTAGAAAAGCTCTATATAAATTCAAACCATTTCCCTATACGTCATAATTA